GATCAAGTAGGCTCACACTGTAAGGTGTGTACTTGAGCCTACTTGAATCTCAGCCCGAGATTGTTGTACTCTTCAGGGTTTTCCTTCTGGTGATTTGTTTCAGACGATTGCAAACTTTACGTTCATATCAAGATCTGGAGTATTGAATTGACAAACTATCTTCAGCTGCTATTCAAAGATAGCATGAGACAGGAAAGGTAAATAAGCAAAAACAAACAAACAACCCAGCAAGAATAAACTGAAGAAGGAGTGAAGAAGGTACGCAAAAAAAAGCAGGACAATGTGGATGGCATTTGTTTGGTTTTTTTCTCCCAAGAGAATCTGATAACTTTTAACAGAAAATAACTTGATGTGGGAAGGTGGAGGCAGGCCACTAACCTTCATTAGAAAAGACCATGATTTGGGTATACCTCCACTTAAAATGAACACAGCTTTTTACCAGAAATTGTTGGTCATACTTTCTGCTGGTAAAATAAAATTTAAAAGTAGGTTGATTCCTCAAGCCATTTATCTGAGTTCTTTCTGAGTTCAGCAGAAGCTGGGATAAATCATTCTACTATGGCTCTATGAATCTACCTCACCTTTTAACTTGTTATAACAGATAAAATCACAGTTAGTTAAATCTCCTACAATAAAAATTCATGTTTATCGTAAGGTCAGTAAGAGCAATAGTATGTTTCCCAACACTTATTAATACAACTAGTAAAAAATTAATAGTGGGAGTCTTCATAAAAATATAAAATTTAAAATGAAAGTCTTGACCAATCTACATAGGAAATCTTTATTCCACCTGTAGTATTCTTCCATTTTGCCAGATTTACAAAATATTTGCAATTCAATGGTTGCAGTTCATAAAATATCCTGAGTAGGAAGAGACCCATGAGCATCACTGAGTCCAGCTCCTGACCATACACAGCAGCCTAGGAGTTAAACCATGTATCTGTGAGCATTGTCCAAATCTTTCTTGAATACCAACAGGCTTGGAATCATGACCACTTACCTGGGGAGCCTCTTTCCAATGCCTGAACACATCCTCACGTGTCTGTATGTATTTTGAGAAAACATTTGAGAATTTTCAAAATGACTGCAAGATCTTTCAGAAAAATAGGGCAGCTCTGCCCACCACAAGGGGTTGGAAATGGATGATCTTCAAGGACTCCTCCAACCTAAACTGTTCTATGATTCTACGAGAAACAGTAAGAGAAATTCACTGAATACTGTACTGTTCTGAATTTGGTGAAATCTTTGTGAGTTTTATATATCAATTTAGATCTCTAACTATAAATTTCTTCTGCGGGGTTTTTTCTTCTCAGTGCAGATTTTTTTCCTTTTCATAGGACTACGAAAGTCATCATTAAAATCTGAGAAAATAAATCACAGCCTGGAGTGCAATAACAGTAAGATAGGTGAAGTTTTGAATTTAGAGACTGACATACTTCAGAAAATTTAGCTTTGCTGTTCGAAAAGAATAGCATGAAATGTCTTAGTCTGACATAAGTATCACGGTCAGAAAATAAATTCAAAAGCCATAAGTAAATGTAAACAAATGCATATTGTCCTTTTTGCCAATTGCAGATATTTGAAAAGCTAACAGCTATTCGAATTGTGCTGTGAACTAACTATTCTCCACTGTAGGAAGAAGAAGATCTTCCCAGGATTCAAATACATTATTTTTCATCTTCACTGTGAAGAGCTTTTTCCTCTTCTTTTCTTCATAGAATAAAAGGCCTTTCTGTTCTTTCAGTTGTGCAATCTCTGCCTTTTAGGGGGAGTTTCTGCTCCACTCACCCATCACCACCACCCAGCAACTCTGCAGTTTCTGTGCTTGATCTAGGAGAACAATTGGTAAAGGGGCTGAGAAGAAAAGAGAAGTACGCGCATGTGCGCACACGTACTTTTTCACAAAGGAAGGGAGGAAGGTTGGTGATCCTAAGAAAAAAGACTTAAAACATCTCAGGTAGAAATGAGAGCATTTCCTAGTCTAGCTGTGTGATCAGGAAGGCATTTGAAAGCTTACATTTAAATGGCTTAGGCAGCTTTGCAGTTGCATGGTAAATGGGTGCATTTGCATTTATGCATTCAAATATGCAACTTGGTCTGAACATAGTCTACAGTATCCTACATAATCTATTGGTATTTCTGTCACACTGCAAAGTCTTAAAGCAACAAATCTGGGTACAGTCTTCATTTTTTCAGTTATATTTTGAAATAATATTAATTTGATGCACTCTCAAAGCTTTCCTAGATAGACTTTGATAAGTTTGGATTTTGAACTTGGATAATTGAGGATATAGTGTGTAGAAGCTGTGTAGGCTGTGTAGTTGAAGGGCTAAGGAGAAGAAACAAATCCTTCATTGCAAGGTCATGGTGGTTTGGCTGCTTGCAATTTACTGGCAGTTGAAGACCGTTCAGTGGCAAATGTGGCAGAAAGGGCATGTGTCCACACTGCCAGCACCATCAGCATGGCACATGGGTATTGTCTATGGTAATAGGAGTTGATGAAGAGATTGAAAGAGCAAAAGATTAAAATACGTATACAAGTACTTATACAAAATAAGTATACAAAATAAGTATTCTTTCTCCTATAGCAAATTCTTTTATCTTAGTAGATATGTCCCATCTGTCATTTATTCTGTTTCAGTCATGGTCATTATGCGTCTGGCATCCTTCGTAAGAATTGTGTATATTGTATACTGGTTATGTTCAAATACAACTGTCTAAGCTAGTTTATAAAAAAAGTTTTTTTTTAAAGCTGCACATGCACCATTTCAAAAATACGCAAGTACATTGCATTTATCCTTACAAAAAAATTGGCTGATGAGTGACTTCAAGCAGTGATGCACTTATATTCATGTAATCTGCGTGTGTTCAAACTAAATGTGGTCACTTTCATTTTGTGAAGTAAATTAAAGGGAAAATCCTGTGTAGACTGTTGGTTTGGGTTTTTTTTTTTTCCGATGGTGTCCTAACCTTAGTAAGAAGAAAACTGGGCCAACTAGTTCTTGCTTTTATTAAAGTTCCTGTTGGCAGCACACTGTTGGGACACATTAATCTTAGTATTAATTCTGAGGAAAAGGGACTAAGAAGCCTAGGATGAATAAATCATTCTGGAGGCCATTTGGATTCCTTGGCACCTTCTGGGTTACATTGTTGGTGGATGAAAAGGCTTCTCTAAAGTGTTAAAGGGCTGGATAGCACAATTGGCTGTTTGCAAAATTACTCACAATAATGTGTGAGCATTCTGCTGGAGGTAGGAAGAAAAGAGTAGGGTGGTTGGAGCACCTGTTTTTGTGCAAAAAAAAAAAAAAAAAAAAAGCACTCTCATGATTATACATGGTGAGTTTGAGAGCTGGGGCTCATAAGAGCCCCATGTAGGCTTTGTCACTGAGAGCAGTGAGTGCTGTTTCCATTCCAGCTCTGAGGTATTTGTTGATACCCGGGAGAAAGAAGAGTAGTTGAAACTCATCCTTTTGTGTTGTCACTTCATACATTTTTTGGAGGCCAGGGGACAGGACCCATTTTTTCCACTTCAAATAAACCAAAAGAGGATTTTTCTATTTATCTTTCTCTTGATGACTAATTCTGAAATACACTGCAAGATAAAATTGCCAGACTCCAAAAGCGGCTGCTGATTGTCACACAGTAGTAGCTAAACATTTTCAGTGGCAGTCAGTGAACAATTACATGCTACAATTTACACTGTCTTCTCTAGCATGTTCTTTGACTGAAGAAGCACCTATTATTAGCTAGGCAATAATCAAATACTTAAAATAGGCATGTAAAAGAAGATTTGGAGAATAATGCATGCTACCATTTAATAAGCATTTCACTCCCTCATTAGATGCACTGAAGTGTAGAAACCCAAGTTATATTGCTATATTTTTAGCTGACAAATTTGCTGTTGGGATGGTTATGTTTTCTCTTTGCATTTTCTTCATACAACAATCTAGTTTTATAAACACGGATCATCTGTAATGCAGTGAATGTAGTGTACAACAATTTTTTGAATGACTTTTAGTTGTTAGATGGCAGAAATCGAAGTTAAAAGAATACTGAAACTAGAAAAGTGAAAAACAATATGAAATGTCTCAAAACATTTAATTTTCAATGAAATAATAGAATATCACTGTACCACTTGTAACATAAATGGGAGTGTTTGAAAGCTATCAACCTGTTCATGTACTGATATAGATAGACTTTTTCAAGATAGCCAGTTGTCAGTGAGCTTAGGAAGGAAATGCTGCTTTCGTGTACATATGTTTCTTGTAAAGATGTTTGGTTAGTAACAGTTTACAATACGACAACTTAAGCAATAGACAGTATTGGTAATGCAACACCAACAACAGAAAAGGTGGGCAAGAGCCACTGTTTATGTTTGATTGCTTCAGAATATGAATTTCTAAAGGAAGTGCAAATAATTTAGCTCATTTTTTAAGGCAGAGAACATACTTCTATACTGATAGAGCATCTTTCTTTCTGCTCACTCTGTTTCTAGCCTAGAGGTATACTTAAGTACACTGGCTGTGTAGTGACCTAATGTTTGGTTCAATTTGTCCAGGACAGACAAGGAGCAGTGTAAGTGTAATTCTATTCACATACTTCCAGACTGAGTAGTTTATATTAAAATTATTTATTATTTTAGAACACCAGCTAAAGAGAGAAAAAATGTTAACTTTTTTCTTTTTAATCTCCACTTCTTAGATATAACCTTATAGTATACACTTACCACATGGTGAACTTAAGCTTCACTTACTAGTATTTCTGCAGTCCTCTTATACCTTTGGCCTTCTGACTTGAGTGATACAATAAATAAAATAGAGAACTGCAAGATGCAATGATTAATAGAAAAATAAAGCTTCCATCAGGTATAGAACCTGAATACCACTTATTCTGCATTTACATTGTGGTATTTGGAGGTCATGAAATCTCATTGTAGTGTCTGGGTGATATTTGTCATTTTGTACTAAAGCAGATGATCATCATATATTTCTCCATTTCAGGAAACCCTGCAAGGGTGTTCTGCTGCAGAGAAACAAAGACTGCAATCTCAAGCATCTACTTTGAAGACACCCAGGAAACATACCAACTTAATGTAGCCAGGATCTGCATTACTATCCCTAAGAAGACTTAAATCTTTGGAACTTAGAAGAGAAACTATTCTGTGCAGCATGATAAACCTGTCAGGAAACAGAAGACAAAGTCCTATCTGATCTAAGGTTGTGGAAAGCTTTCCAACTCACAAGAGAAGGTAAGCTCAATCCAAATAGAAAGTGGAACAATTTTTTTGATGGTATTAATAAAAATCAGCAATTTCCAAGATACGTGAAGTAAAATGCTATTATAATCAAAAATTGCTTTCTAAATTCCTCACTTACCTTCTTTATTTTTTTGATGGGAAGTGCTAGGTAATATTCACATGCAGCACATCATGTGCCACATCAAATGAGCTTGAGCCTCTATGGAAAAACACAAGATTAATGTGTCTTTGTTCATAGAAGTACATAATATCTGGTGCTCAGTTCCACCTTCTACCAATGGAAAGCTACTGCTTTTGCTACCGAGCAGAACACTATCCTGGTTTGTAATGCAATTATTAAATTGCATGGGGGGCCTAAGTAAAATTTTACCTTGATTTTATAGAGTCATTGACTTTAATGGACTTGTTCCAAATTTTCACCGGTGTAACTGCAAGTAAAAACAGGCCAGAAGATGTCACGTAAGGCAAAATAATTCCATCTTGTAAACCATAATGCAGGTTGCATGTAGTTAAGTATGGGTCCAGTAAATTCATCTTTCAGATGATGCGTTAAGTGACAGCCTAGGATGCTCACGGTTACTTAAACTTTCCTGTCTCTTCTCATAGGACAAGGGAAGTTCAGTACTAATAGTGTCCAAAAGAAATTCTAGGTAGTATTTTACTTAGCTTAAATTGTCTTTTTGCATATGTTTAGATCGTTGTTCCTCACTTCATCTTTCTGAAAATCTAACCAATTGAGCCATAACTGTTTTGCAAATGACAGATATGTTATTGCCCAGAAACAACATACACTGGAATTTCTCTTAATCTGTACAATTGAACTGCAAAACATCGATAAAGTCTGAATTGAAAAAGCAAGTGAAGAGTCAAGATTGATGTTTTAATATTTAAGGACAGATCCTCAGCTAGTATAAATGATTTTAGATTTCTTGAACTACCATTTTATTTTTATCTGGTTTTTATTTCTTAAAATAATATTCTATTTTATTTGGTCATGCACCCTAAGTGTTACTAGTCTTGCCTGTTTATATAAAATATCTTGTGACAATTTGGTCTTAAATGAAAAAACAAGGTACAAAATATTACTCTTTTTTTCTTTTTTTTTTCCTTGTATTTGCCCTGAATTCATTCTAAAATAATTCTACAAATTAGTTACTGTAAAAATAAATATTCTTTGAAAATTACTGGCTTTCTGCATTTGCCTCTTTGGGCAAACCCATCTGCATTTAGGATCACCTCAGTTAGTTGTTGCTACATACAGAAATAAGTTGTGTTTTTTGCCAGCCTTTTGGAAGGTAGGATAGTGTCATGCTAAGGGATGTTGTGAACAGGTATGTATGCATTAAAAAAATGTAAGGAAGGGCATGCAAAGCAGTACTTCAGCATTCAAGATAAACACATCAAATTGGAGAAGAGTGCTGTGAGCAAACTAGAAAATGGAATGTGAACAGGAATAGTAGTTTCAGCTTACTAGTTACAGGTCTCCTAAAATGCTATAGTTTTTGGATTTCAATTCTGCAATGCTATATATTTGGTTTTTCCAGTCCAAGTCCGTAGCAAATTACAAATTACTTACATGCTGTGCTGAGACACACACACACACACACACACACACAGACGAAGGGTAGAAACAGCTGCTGTTGGCTCTGTAGTTTTGCTTCCAGTGATTCCTAAATTCAGCCAACAAACACAGTTCTCCTTCACTTGTAGAGCTTCTGGTTTGTCTTGGCCCATGAAACCCTTTGTCCTTTGGCAAAATTTCACTGGAAACCTCAAGCAAATGCTGTTTGATCTTTTCCAACTTGCCTCAAGAAAGAGTATCATGGTTTCAGCTATCCTTCCTCTTCTGAAGGGAAGGAGGGGGAAATTGTGTGTGAGGAATCATCTGTGTACAGGCCTAGTCTCAAGAGTCCCAAGAAGTCTTGAACAGCTGTGACTCCTGTGCTTAACATGTGCTCTTCAGTAAAGCATTTGCCAGAATAACCACTGACTAACACGTATAGTGGTTCTTATTTTATTTTCCATCTGTATTTTCCATGCAGTTTACCTGGCACTCTTAACCTCTCCAAAGCTAGAGGACTGCAAAAACTTCCTCTTTGCTAAGTTCAGTGTGTTACCTTGCAGGGATAGGAGTCAGCACAATTCTGTTTGCAGGAAAAAAGTCAGGGGTTGTGGCACTTGGTCTTTGATGACTGCCACCCATTGAGATCAAACTGTACTGGCAGCTTATGTGTCATCAAATACTGTTTCAGTCTTTTGAATCAAATTCTATAATTTCTGGGTTCAGAATGGCCCTGAGATTCAGGAATTGAGGAAATGAACAAAGAAAATCAAGGAAGATGAAAAGAGTAGAAGTCTCTCTGGCACCAAGACTTAAAAGGAGACTTGCCCTTCTGCCTCACAGATATACATTTCTACCCAATTTCCACCTGGAGTAAAAACTGGGCGATGTAGAACACAGCAGTTTTGCATGTTTGTCTGATGTTCCTCTTCTTTGCTTTCCTTCTTTTTCTTCCTGCACACTTTTCAGATTTGGATTGGCTGCCTGATTTTGGATTACGGTCATTTCTATGTAGTCAGCTGGTCCTTCAATACTTACTATGATTTGCTGTACATAACATGATCTTTCTCATTATTCTCACCTTTTCTGTTTGCTCGTGTTGAGATTCTGAGTATACCAGATTAATCACTTCAGTCCTAAATCAGAGAAGTCTGCACATCCGGTCAGTCTCTTTTTTCTGATAGCAAGATGGCAGAGCCATTGAAAACCACAGCCAATAGGAGTAGGTTGAAGAAGACATGGGATTTTTTTACAAGGGCATGAAAAAGTAAAGAGTATGAGAAGATAGCAATTGTCACAACTTAACAACCTACATGGAAAAAACATCAAAAATGGTTTTAATCTCTTCAAGAATAATATCAGGATTTCCTTGTGAATTGCTTGTGAGATCCTGGTATAATACAAAAGCATTTAGGAACTTGATACTAATTATTAAGAGGTGAATAAATGCTGTAAGTTTGATTTGTCAGTTCTATCTTGAATTCATCTTGTTTAGGTTTGGGAGGATCTGATTCAGAAATACCCATTCTGTTAGTATTTTTCATGACTCTAAATGTCTTCAAAAACTTGTTTTAAAAATGAATTTGATTTCAGATATCTTTGACTAGACCTGTATCCCAAAATCTTAGCTGTGTAGGAAACATATTTCTGTCTTATCCAATGTTTTGAAAAGACAATCTGAAATTTACGGCAAACAAAAGGAGGAGTACTCTGATCAGATTCTGGGCTTAAAATGAAATTAAAGTAAAAAGAAGTTATTTGCTATTTGTTACTTTAGAGTGGAAAATTGTTAAATGAAAATGTAATTTTTTTTTTTTTAATAGAAATCCACTTAAAATTGTTCTCTCTTTAGGCATTATGAAAAAAAGCTGAAATGTTCCTATAAAAGTATCTTGGTCACCAAAACTGCCTTTTTGTTCAAATATTTTTACAAGTACATTAGTTCAGTAGTTCTGATTCACTCAGAATGGTAGCATCTTTATATTCCAGATTGGAGGAGGAACTGGATACTTGCTTCTGTGAATATGCTCCTACTATAAGTGTGTAAGATGGGACCTTACTGTGAGTCAAATGACAGGGTAGTCTCAAGCAGACAAGTGAAAAGCTTGTGAAAAGCGTGAACTCTCCTTAAACAGTGTCGCTTCTCTCTGGTTTAAGTTGGTATAATATCAGGAATTGTGGAACAGGAAAGAAATGCAGGAGAGAAAGGTATGGCATTTTAGACTTGGGCAATCCAAGATCTGGTAGGGTGAAAGACATCTAGAAATGGTTTGTTCCTTTCATAAACAAATTATTCATTCTTACTGTATCATTGCTTATTCTTCTGGATTATTAGCAGGTTATTTTCTTTTTAACTCTTAAAGCCTTGCCATCCACCTTCAAAACTGCCTCTAGGCATCTTTGATTTGTATGGTTAGCATTTACTCCCTAAGGTCTTATCAACCTTGGCAGTTTACAAATCATATTTTCACATGCATGAATCGCCCTTGACTAATTTCTCCAGTACAGTTTGAACATAAATAACCTTTTCTTTAGCAGCTGCATTCTATTTATTTATTTATTTATTTATTTACTTACTTACTTATTTATTTTCCACCTGTTTATTTTCAATAAACCTGGCATGAATAAGTGTATGGTTTTATGAAATACTGCAAAGTAAATCTGTATCAAGATCTGGTTAGATATGTGCTGTCTTGTGGGTTTTGTTGTGTGTTCTTTTTTTCCCCTATTGTGAGTCCTTTTTTCTAATCTCTCTTTCAAAATCAATGAGTTCACAGTGACTTTTGATGTTATTCTTCCCCATGGTAGTTAAGCGTTTCAAAGAACAGAGTGAAATTAACTTTCTCATTGTGACATTGTGTTTATTTAGTAAATATAAAAAAAGATAAAGGTTCAGAAAGTCTTGGGTTCTGCAAAATCTGACTTCCAGTAAATAGCAAGTCAGGGTTGCTGATAACATCAGATGTTGCAGGTAAAAACATTAGATAACAACGCAGTGAAGAAATACAAGGGCATAGCAAAACTCCAATATCGGTACCCCTGCATCAAGAAAATACCTTATGGTGTGTCACATAGTTTCTTCCTGCATAGAAGCGCAGCATATGAGCACTAGTGTCAAACAGGAGACAGAGCTGTTACCACATTTGTTGCAGATATAGGATTTGAACTGCCAAGCTATGAAGTTATGCAGCTTGGCACCAACAAAGAAGTTGATAACAGTTGGAAAGCAAAATTTCTCAGTCCAACTTCAGGCTCCACAGCCAGGCTACTACAGGCTGGTGCATAAAGGAAAGCATTGTATTATGGAATGCTTTAATTGTGACAGGTCTGAACATTGTTGGAAAGCCGATTTGTTCTTTGTGCTTTCTGAGATATACTAACAATTCTGGCAGAAATCAAGTAGCTTTGTTTTTAACTTACCTGTAAATAA